CTGGAAATGCGGATTAACCGTTTGTGTCGTGAATCATTTTATCCTTCCCTTTTTCTGTTATCTTACTGCCTTCTTTAAATGCTTCAAGATTATTCGAATTATATTCGTATTAAGTGTAGTATAAATTTATTTGCTTCGAAACTAAAACTAAATGAAAGAGAATTGCGTGCTCATTTGAAAAGGTGAATAATCGATTGTTGAAAAAATTAGTATTATTTTGGATTTAAAGATAACGGGTATACGCAATTGGTTGGTAAAATATAGCTATTTGAAAGGCTCGGTCACCGGGAAACTGGCCGCCACGCGAGCGATTCACGCGTGATCCTGCGCGCCTTTTCCTGTCGCAATTTTTCATGGAGACTCGAACCAGCGCGAAAAAGGGGAGGAATTTATGCCATCGTTAACGTAACGTTCCCGCGAGTAAGGTGGTTACAAGCAACCTCGTAAAACCCGCATCTTCCCGATTTATCATAGCACGAACAACAAAATTATACCTGCTCGCATTCCCTTCCTCCGCTAGTGCGTGGAGCATCCCGAGCAACCGGGAAGGTTGTTCACCCTCTAAGATCTAACTGGAACCTTGCACGGGGTGAACAAGGTCCGGGCACAGGGAAAGACGATTTCACGCGTAAAAATATGTCGTACATTTATAATCTAAAATCGATCTTTGAACCGAGCGGGAATTTATTTTCTTCTAGTAGGTACATATATCATTTTCTTCCGGGTATGGAACAATCGCTTGTTCGAAACTTATTAAGGTTACTATTTCATTGTATATCATGGTATTACATATTTCGTATAATTACACTATAAACTCGTTGAATCGATAGTTAAGTGATCTGAAATACACTCAATCCGTTTAACCTGTGTCGGATTAGATTTCTCTTTAACTATATTCCGAAACTGATGTAATTGAGACGTACTGAACTGTAATCAAGCTCAGTATAAAACGTTGAATTACTAATAATTCGCTAATTTCGAACGTTTCAATTCTGTAAGCTGATATTTTCTTGATATAACGTCTGGCAAGGGTCTATATCGTTACAAAAGTACTATGATAATTCATTTTTTTTCTTGTTCTCTTATCGAGCATGAATTACTGCTCGATAGGACTCTGTCACATGTCGCAGCAACTGTTGTAAATAATACGCTGATAACGTGCTCTAAATGTGAATTTTAATTCCCGGGTTTCTCAGCAGTCTCGCATAAGAAATGAAAATGTCTGTAATGAGAGACGTATCGTTCTTTGCGTAGTTTAATTAATCATCACGTATAATAAGGAAAAACCTTGCATTCGCACTCCGTGTTAAGTAATCGGCAAAAATGCCCAATAAATCCATGAATTACGTTTAAAAAGTATTCATAGAGATTTTGAAATAGTCATACAACCGTAAATCATAGTCGGATGAATAAAAAAAAAGCTATTTGCTCGATGTTTAAAGAGTCAAATGACTATGAAATCTTTACGCCTCTTCTCACAGTAAAACTATTACTGCGATTACCAGACTTTCGAAACCATACAACTCACTAACAAAATGTAAATTGCTGCATATTTACCGTGGGTGTGTATTGTATATGGGACGCAAGAAACTAGTCATTTTATGGAAAATTTTATACAATTCCTTATTTATTCCCATTACCCCACTTCCCTTATTAAAGAAAAACTGATTCATAAAAATTTCAACTTTCTAGGTCCCCCAAATTATTCTTTTTTCCTCCTTAGAATTAAAGTACAATATTCATTACATTTCAGTAATTTCTATCATAAACTAATCGTCGCTACTCAATTCCCAAATTACTTCATTCCATCGACTACAAGTTTCTGTTCATCCTATCATTTTTTATTCAGTCTTCGACAAAAGCTAAATACTTCGCCCTCAAAGGCTGTGAAGCACAAAAGCTTCAGGTAGAGGGCTATTGTAAGCAACCCCCGCGCGAAAGACTAGCCGAGGATTGACCTGGCGCGGCGGTGCCGTTTCAAGCCTACCTCACTGAAGAGTCCATGACTAGCAGGTGAATTGAACAAGTTCGGAACACGTTTTTCCAGGAAACGCGGCTCTGCCACGGAGGAGGGGCGGCAGGTAAACGCCTGTTGAAAGTAAACATATCGCGGACGTGCGCTCGCGCGCGATAGCCATTGAAAAAGTGGAAAGAAAGTTGCCAATGCGCCTCGCATACCTACTGATCCGCCGGTCGCGAACAAGTTTCACGGTGAATGGACCGAGCGCGTTTGAACTTTTCATTCGTTTCCATCCATGCTTCACCTCGCCTCGCCACGCCTCGCCGCGAATTAATCCCGATTAATCGGAACCACAGGTTCAACACCGAAATCTATTCCCAAGTGTCTTAGATCACGAAAGTATGGACTATGATCGGCTACGATCGCTGCAGTTGAAGCCTTATCCGCACCGAGATCTCAAGATAATTCCATCGTCCTTATGGTACACGGTTTTTCTCTAAACAGCAATCGCTTGTTATCAATATTACGACGAGAGCACATCAATATCTTGTGATCGCAGGAACCTTGATATGCGTCGAATTGAATTCGTTTTTTCTCCCGCGTCCTCTGGGACGTATAGAGGATTCAACTTTGAATTTATTTTTGACAGAAATTATTCTTGACTGTATTAAAGGAATGGGGGTGAAAAAATTCAAAATATTCGGCAAATTACACCTTTCCGAAGTGATTAGAAATTATTGTGATATGGACGTGCCGCGAAGGTACCGAGTTACGCGAATGATAAATATCATTGTTTGTTCCGACTCAAACATTCCGCCGCGTTTCGTTATAGT